GAGCCGCAGTGGGGAGGCCAGGCCTGCGCCGCGCACTCACCTAACCCGGCCATCTCTCTCTTCTCTTCCAGCTGGCCGGGGCGCCAGGTCGGCCGGTCTGTTCGGTGGCTTGCAAGGGGCGGTGCCGCCGCCAGCGCCTCCCTGCTGGGAAACCGGACCGAGCAAAATAAAACCAGGCACGGAAAATTGGTGTCCCACTTCATCGGGCACCTTCTCCCCCGGCGAGCTTCGTCTGCTTCAGTGCCGTGGGGGAGGGGCCGTGAGGGATCAGCTGAGCCAGCAGGGCTCTAGGCGGGACGGGGAGAAATCGGGGACCCCCTCCCCCCAAATCTAGCGGCGTTTGCAAACTCTGCTCGTGCGACTAGAGGAACAGCCAGGGTCGCACACGCAGAATGGGCAGCGCCTGGCTAGGGAGGAGCCCTGCAGGGCGGGATCGGGGGGTCCGAGCGGGCCCCAAGCTACCGAGGAGTCACCAGTGGGACGCTGTTGCCCCAAAAAAGCCAAACGTGATCCTGGGCGGCATGAACAGGCGGGTGGTGCGTGAGACCCGAGGAGCCTCCTATTCTCGCTGAGTAACTCTTGCTCTAACCACTAGGCATGGCCACCCATGCACTGGTCTCTGAGGGGATCAGCCCTTTTGCTAGTACAGCAATCCGGCTAAGGGGTGTGGTACCAAGGTTGTGCAGTGTGTGTGGGGGGGGGAGGGGGGGCTGTGTCAACACCTCACAATCCTTGAGGGTTTATCCTCATAACCCCGCTGTGGTGCAGGGCAGGGCTATCACACCCCTTGGGAGAATAGGAAAACCCACTGGAATGGGGCTAGGTCCTGAGACCAAGAGGGCCATAGAGAAGTCCTCCAGGAGGCTAGAGGGGCTGTGGAGGAAATCAGCCAATCAGGAGCCAGGAGGGACTAGAAAAGGAGCTGCAGGAGCGGTACCAGGTCAGTTGCTGCCCAGACCTGAAGGGAGAAGGTCTAGCGGCTGGCCGGTAGGAGTAGCTCTGGGCCGGGCCCCTACTGGAGGTGCGCCCTGGAAGGGGTTTGTGAGGCTATGGGAGAGAGACACTGGGCCAGTAGCCACAAGGCTTTTAATAGCCGGAGGCCCT